AGTACACAACGTACACAAATCAAACTAGAAGGAAACACGTGGTAACTAGTATCCTAGTTTAAAAGTTTAACTATTGCGAAGTAAATTAACAGTAATTTAGCTAACACCAAAAGGGAAGTAAAACAGGAGGTACCAACTCCCGATAACAAAACCTGTGGCTGATTTGTTGTGCTCGATGTAGTTGTATGCTCCTGCCCACTTCCTACCACCCTTGCTGACACTCGCCCAGGTTGCTCTCCTTAGCCAGTGCTCGCGCGCCCAACTTGTCTCCAATACTCCGAGAATTCCTGAAAACACAGAAAATACCACGACCCAAAAATCAGAAGGAGCTATCGCCGCTACCACTTTTGCGGTGCAGTGAACTTAAGGCACAGGTCTCGGCTCAGCGAATCGGCGAGCAAACACGAAAAGATTTCTGCTCTTTTATGCCTCAAGTCCGAACGGAACGAAAAAGAAATTTGAAGAAAGCTTGGGTTTCAAAATGTTTGCGACCAGTGGTATTTGAGGGAAAGGATGCAGCTGAAGTTTAAGGTTAAAGGAGGGAGTTCAAGATTGTCTGAAATAGCATCCAAACGCCGGTATTTATAGGTGTAAAATTAGGGTTCTTAGTTTTGGGCCAAAACTTTATTTTTTCCTTAAAACTCCCCGGCCAAACAAGTTCACATCACACCAAAACGGCGGATCTCCCGATCTAAAAAATCAAATCAGTCGCAAATCACCCCATTTTTTTCCCCATCTCCACGCTACATAGCCCTCCGCCCAGACCAAGAAGCACAGACGCCGGTCACCACCATCTCGCCGAAATTCGACAACGCCCTTCTGCCGAGAACTAAGCCATCAACGAATGAATCCGTGATTTGCTGCTGCTATTACTCCCCTGTTGCTAGCTGAGCTCCAATCCTCTTTTCAAGCCTTCATTTGGTTTCATTGCCTTCTAAATCTCGGCCTTTGTTAATTAGAACTGGTTCTTGCGCAACTAGCTATTGGAATCGTTTTGAGCTTCATTCGAATTTGTATTTGCCTCGATTTGGTTCGTTCATTTCAGTTATCTCATTGTGTAATTATCGCTGTGGAAATTGTTGCTGGAGTTACATTTGCTGATTCTACCATATTTGAGCTTATTTCAGTGTTTCACTTTCAATAGGTAAGTTCATCTCCTATTTTATCATTCTGCTCTTGAGTTAAGTGTTTTCTTCTTCTCTATATGCTTCCCATATTATTTGTCTATGATTTTTGGTGATGTTTCTCGAGTAATATTGTATTCTGCAGTTCTGCTAATTGCAATCTAAGGTAATGCTATAAACTATTGTGCCATTTCCCTTATATGAAGCCTGTAGTTCTCAATTTGTTTCTGTTGGCAGCTGAATTAGACTAATAAACTTTATAGAATGTGAAATATTGGGTTTACTCAAGGTGATAGCTTGTTTAGCTCAAAATGCATACTTTCTTGAGGCATGTTTTTTTTTTTTTTTTTTTTTTTTTTTTTTGAAATTTAATGTTATCAGCATTAGGAGTTGTGTTTGGCATGGTTTAACGCATATTACAGAAAGTATTTTCCTTGGTAAAAGCATCTTCTACTGTTTGGATGTTGTTAAGATGTGGATAATGTTTTTTTTTTTTTTTTTTTTTTTTTGCAAAAGAAAACATGTTTTCACCAAATGGGGGAAATTGACTTACATTGATGCACGTGAATCATTTTTCTTTACAATTGTTAACTCGTCCATTTTCTTGCTTCAACCAATGCATAACAGTTTCCATCTTTATACTCAATATTATCATATAAAGCACCTCCCGGATGTCCCAATCCCACATTATACTATTGTGATGGGTTGTAAATTGTGTTCTGAAACAACATTTCCATGTTCACTCAGAAAACTATTTTCTAGATCATGTTAAGAGTATTGGGTGATAAGATCGTAACTTATATCAATAGTAAAATTCATGGGATGCGCCACAAGGTTTCTACTTTTCAGAACCAAAGCTTTACATTAAAGAATTAATCTTTGAACAAAGTAGTTTGCTTTAGGCACGCAATTAAAATTATTACAACTGTGGGTACGGTTTCCGTGACGTGGTTGTGATACCTAATTTTAAATTAGATTAAAGTAGGAACATCTTTAGTTTGCCTTAGAGAAAAATACAAATCTTTTCTTTTAAAAATAAATTGAGGTGTGCCATACGCAAACAAAATCCATAACCTATGGCCCTCACATTAATATTAACTTAGTATAGAAAAATACCTTTTCAAACATCGTAGCTTGCTTTAGGCGCGATTAATAGTAAATCATCATAGCTACGGGTACGGTTCCCGTGACGTAGTTGTGACACCTAATTTTCAAATTCGGGGTACATTTATGTGACCCGGCCACAACAACTAATAATTTTAATAAATTAAACATGTTGTAGATCGTGAGTACGGTTCACGTGACATGATTCGCGATGTGTATCAAACAAACAAGTGTACGACAATCGTAACTTGTTCCAGAATAATTCCATAAAATAATTAAAAGCGGTTTAAAGTTAAAAATGCACAATAGGTTTAAAACATGTAGTAAGTCGGATAATAGGCCAATTATTAATAGTTTAAGCGACCGTGCTAGAACCACGAAACCCGGGAATGCCTAACACCTTCTTCCGGGTTAACAGAATTCCTTACTTAGAATTTCTGGTTCGCAGACTTTTAAAATAAAGTCGAAATTTCCTCGATTTGAGATTTTAAAAATAAATCGGTGACTTGGGACACCAAATAAATTATTCCAAGTGGCGACTCTGATTAAATTAAATAAAATAATTTCATTTCGAATGATGTCACTTTAATTGAAAAAACTCCCTTATACACTCCTTCCGTAGAAAAAGGAGGTGTGACAGGGGTAAAATATAATTTTAAAAAATCAGAAAAGTTGACTTTTTAGGGAATTAACTGTTACTCCGTGTAGCGTTTGGTCGGGGCTTTAGAAGATTTATAATTCCCAAAGGTTTTAAGGGCATTGCCCTTTTTGCTGGTGCTAAGATTTGCTCCTTTTTTCCTTTCTGGTAAGCTTTCTCCAACTTCTGTTTCATTATTTCTGGGTTCCTTAATGTAAGTGGATTTGCCTCTTGAATTTCTTCGTGGTTCTATGTGATTTCTTTTATTTGTTTCTGTCCTTTTTTTTTAAAATTTTAATTTCGTTCTTAGCATTTGAGTATGCAATTTTTGGTTTTCCATTTAGAATGGCATTAGTTAACAGATTGCAGTCAACTGTTCAATAGGTACACAAAAGGATGATCTTTTTTGGTCCAATATTTTCCTTTTGTACAATTCTCTTCAAGTATTGTGGAGCGAAAGCAATTAGTTTTCATAATTTGAATGTCGAATCAAAGCAATTAGTTTTTGAAGTCCTACTGGAAAAGGTGAAATTTCACATTGTGCTTTGTCAATGATATTACATATACAGGATCATAATGATTTTGATGCCAATAGAAATTGTCCCCTGCTTCACTATACAGTCACAAGTGCAAAGTGGCAAGCTCTTTTGTCCACATTCAAGAAAGTTGAGCTTTCAATCAGTCAGCCTAATTTTGCAATATATATTTTGTGCAATCTTATGTTTTTGCTGTTGGGCTGTTTGATTTTCCTTTGCCTTTTTCTTGTAACTTGTTCTGATTTACGTTGAAGAGCATATATAGTAGATGAAACAATTGAGCGCTGTATCACATATCCATCCTAAACTAAATATAGTTGCTTAATTAGCAGAGCTTCACTTCATATGATTTTCTGTCAAAGCACATATTATTTTAAAAAAACAGATAAAAATATTGGTTTGATGGTAAGTAATAATTGAAATAACTACTACAATACCGACATTGAGATCTCATGTTCTTTCGTGTGAATGCAAACTTATTGACAACCTTTCTTTTAACTTTCTTGGGATTAGACCTTGTACTCCGGACCACCAGTCAAATACTTTGTGCTTAGCACGGGCTGCGACTCATCTAGTACAATTACAAGAATGAGGTTGAATCATAATAAGTGAGAGTCTCCCAGTTGTGAGTGCCAATCTGTACTAAGAACATAAACGTACTATCCTAGTAGCTCATAGTAACCCATTGTCACAACGTTTTAGGGGGTTGGGTGGAGGAGCATGGGCCGGGGAAAAGAGGGTTGGCCTAGGGGCATCTCAATAGAATAGGTGGCCTTAAGCCAAATCTGAATAACATGCCTTAAACTTTTATATATTTATATATATGGGGTTTGCTAACCTACTACATGGCTCTAGTAGATTAGCATTGTACTTGCTTTTTATTTATCCAACGAAAGTGTAAATTTTCTTGGAAGAACTTCTAGAAGGCAACACCATGAGCAACAAACTAGTTCTGTTGCAAAAGTGTTGGAGGAAATATTTTACAAGGTTTACAATAACAATAGGAGCAGTCTAAATATAATTTTAACCCTTTGATTAAGCAGCAGAAGTCATTTTTAATGGGCGAAAACCATGATCAAGACTAGCTTTCCACGCTTTCTCAATATCAAGCATCATGTCACCACATTCATGCTCATTCCAACCTTCCAATGCATGCAAAATTCCAGCTATTCTCCAGGCACTCATCACTCTTCTTGGCAGCCAATTCTAGAATTAGAACAATATCACTTATGAATTTCTTTTGTTATTCACGCACAATCAAATTAGTATAGAGAAATTAAGTAAATTAAATGATCCTTTTCAACCTCACAAGAGTCTACATTTTCAAGATGTTTTGGAGTAAGCATGGCTGGTGTGTTGAAGTAGAAGCAATTCTTGCGAACTTTTCTTGGTGGAAATTGTGAAAAAGGAATATATAATGTTCCTTTTGGCGCTTTCAGTTGTTCGTCTTCGCTCAATCCATCATCTACTAGCCATATCTGCAATATAATACTTCAATCAAGAACCTTCATTTAAATCTATAGACAGGAGACAGGAGATGTGGGGGAGGATTCTTAATATTGAACTTTCTAAAATCCGGAATTGTTCGAAGCTCGACATAATGACAAAACTTTAGGTTAGGAGAGGGAGGGGGGAGATGAAAGGAATTGTTATAAATCATCAAGATTTAGGTTAGTATTTTTCAATGTATTTTGGTTTATACCTTTGGTAAATAGGTCTTTGACTGGACCAAATTAGTTGCAGCCTCAGGGGTAAGCCTTGCTTTAAGTCTCTTGTACTCTTCTTCATCTAACATGATAACCTATATATAAATATTGCAATGAATGAGAAAAAGGGAAACGAAGGTGATCGAGGAGATTAATAGTAAGAGATACCTGAATTCCTCTTTGGCACAATACAAGGGCGATGGAGCAAGAAACTTTGGACAAACGACCTCTAAGGACCACTTGGGAAGTTCCTTTAGGAATGGAGTTTAGGACCACAGCAACAACTAGACTACTTCCATCAACCACCTTCACTTTCAACTGAGGATTTTTCCTTATGTAAAGTTCACCATTATTGTTCAGCTGCTCTTCCTGCTAGAACGTTGAATTTGTGTATAATTGTAAGTATCAACTGGAACCCTCTTTCGTCCAGTCAACAAACATTGGATATAGGGTGATGGGAGAATTCTTTTTAATTTATTTTCTCTGTAATAGTAAATATCTACCATAGCTAACATAATGTTTTTCTCAAGAAAATTGCATTTTAGGTAGAGATCATGCATTTTTCTTATATATCATATAAAGTAAGGATGAGAATTATTTGATTTTCTATAGTTTTACTTACCTGATTTAGGAGTCCAAGGCTCAAAACTTTTATGCCTTTCTGATCAGCTTCCATGATGGCTTCCTCAATCAAATTGTTAATAGTATCTCTTTGCCCTTGCATAAAGTACTGAACAAAATAAAAAATTAGGCAAGTCGCTTTAGCAATCCAGAACATATAACTAGTCATGATTAACAATAAGTTCTTACTTGTTTCCTGTACTTTAGGATAGCCCAAGTTTGTAGTTTAATATTCCTGAATAAATTTCTCTCGACAACAAATGTTTGACCATAAATCCAAGTAATAAAAAATGACCATAGCGTAACAGGCCACATTAACAAGATATACCACTTGGAAGCGTGAGGCCTCGAGGCCAAGGATGCAAACCCTAGTCTGAGATGGTAGATAGATTCTGGGGTTGTTAGATGTGTTAGGTGCACAACGTCAGGTAATTCAGCTTTCCTCTCAAGTGACTTTTCATACAATGTATCTAACGACTTGTCCACTGTACCATACAGATGGTCATACATTGGCACGAAAAGCGAATAATTTGTTCTAAATTGAGTGTGATGTAGTGAGTGGAACCTGTGCCATCAAAGATTTGACATTAGTGTTAAAAAAGTAAAACAAAATTCAAGGATACTATTCTGTTTAGTCTGTAGGAAAAAATACATTTGAAAGAAGACTTCTACATTTTCCCCTTTATTTCCCCGGGGCCCGGTGAACAAAAGTTAGAAGCAAATACAAAAGTTCTGTTCACTGAGGCCTCTTAACTTTGGTTGTACCCAAGTTGTATCTCTCTTGTCACTTTTAATTAAACTGTTCTGCTACCTTGTAGATATGCATGACGAATTACATCTTTTTTCTTTTGAGAAGGACATGACGAATTACATCTTGGGTCCCCTGAATATGAAGAAACATTAATGNCAACATTTTGTGGTCAATGAACTTACCATTTTAACAGTAAAATCATCTTAATAGGTAGGTTTTGCGATTATAGTGGTAAAGTTTAGTAACTTTACTAGTATAGTGGGTAAATTTCAATTACGTTAATGTGAGAAAAAAGTTATGTGACTTATAGCTTCAGTGTTATAGTGGGTAAAGTTTCAATTACTTTAGTGATAAAAAATAAATTTCTAACTTTACCATTATCATGGATAAAGTACGTGAAGTTAATCCTTATAGGTTTCTAGTAAATTTCCTTTTTACTTGCAATAGTCTCGAATACTATTTCATCACCCAATTAATTTCCTATGATATTTCAAACTATGCTGTTCAGACTCGCCGAAAATATCGATGGGTGCATGTCGGATCCTCCAAAAATAGTGTATTTTTTGGAGGATCCAATACGGGTGCGGCAGCTATTTTGGAGAGTCCGTGCAACATAGATTTCAAATCACTTCTAGAGATAGCTATTGTAAATGAAAGTTGAATATGAAACCAAAAGTACTTTTGTGTATGATGCTAATGGATAGGCTAATTGTGACGCTAATTTTTGTTATATGTTTATCCGTGTTACACAGAGAAGTGATCTCGACCTGCATGTAACTCCACTGCATATCACACAACACAACATCAATTTCTGCAATCATATTGTAAATAATTGGGAGTAACTCTCTTTTATTTTTTGAGGACGTTCAGTTTTATTACCCCTCATTCATATTTTGACCTTTTGGGATGTTTATTTACATGGTAGGCATCTATACCAACCCCCAGCCCCAAAGGCGACTTAATTAAAATAAAATTACAAAAAGAAACTGCAGAATGGAAAAACACATGATTAGTTAAGTCTTGGCGAGGCAAAACCAAAACTAAAGCATTGTTGATGCTGTAAATATAAAAATTGAAATATAGGGAAACAGACTCACGTGGGCGTATACATCAAGTACTTGAGAGGGGGAAACATAGAGAACATCCACTTAGGAATGAGCTCAAAGTTGCAATGCCCCATGTAGTTCATGAAATCAATATAGGTGGTGTAAGCACCAAGTGAAGCTATAGAAGCAGTTCCAGTGAAAAGTGTTGTGGTCATTGGTATAAGAAAGAGCGTCAAATATGCTACGATCTCAGCAAACGGATGAATGACAGCTGCCAAAATAAAAGAACTTTGCTTTGTAAGTCTTTGCATATAGGTAATTGATTGTCATTGAAATTAAACTGAGGCTAGCGGGAAGGTCTTTAACATGCAGAAAACCATTCTACAAAGTACTTACATTCTCATTCATCTCATTTTACTTGAGATAGTTATTTGCTTAAGAATTTAAATCATATTTACTGACAGCATAAAGATTTTTCCACATTATGTGTGCAGATATTATTTTGTAGGTTACTATGTCAGGCTTAATATGGAGAGCTGCCTATTGTTGTAGGTCAACTTAACCTGATAGCTATAAAAATATTTACATTATCAGTGTACAGAACATAAGCTCCTCGTTTAAATATCTGATGTATTTTCTCCAAGACTGATCGTTCTACCTCTGAAAACTACATCAAATAAAACAAATGATACAGAACATTTCTGAAGACGACTTACAGGTGATGGGCTCAGTAACAATGGAGGAGTGATGATGGGAATGATAACGAGAGTAGAGAAAATGGTGGTGAAAAGCTCTGTGAAGCCAGTAATAGAGAAACTCCACTGGACCGATATGCATCAAGGCAGTTATTATGATCCCATCAGTTCTCCACAAAGGCAAGTGATGTGTCTGTTGGAACTTCAGGTACGCAATGTAGAATACCACCCCATTAAGTATGATCTGATCATCCCTACAGAAAACACTTCAACCTTAAACAAATCATGCCATGTACTTTATTTGCATATTCTTTTCGCTTGGTGGATTCCTTTTGGACACTATCAAAATCTAATTAGTACTGTCCAAAGCATGGTTTAGACATGTGCAACCTAGTACATGATTCTGACTCTTGTAAGGTATAGCTTATCTTCTGACTGAAACTTTCCAATAACATACTCGGCTGGACAAAACCTAAATGTTGCATCATAAATTTTAGAGCTCAAAATGGCCTTAGTTGTAGCAGCTTTGGCCACCAGTGATATTCTCAGCTTTGGGCTTTGGTCCGATTGGTCTTAAAAGACGTCACTAGGGTCTAAGACTTGCTTGCTTATATACCCAACATCTCGTATGCGTTTTGCCGATGTGAGATTTGTCTAAATTGTAACATACACAATCCCTCTTAGGGATTCAACGGTGTTGATGTTTACCCCGCCATCATTTCGAAGATGTGGGATTCACCTAAGCTCAGTTGGAGTTCTGCGCCACCACAACTCCCAATGTTGTGGGTTTTGCATAAACTCAACTGCGCACTAAGATTTGTCCCACCATCACCAAAAGTTGTAGGTTGAGTGGTTTTGATAACATTTGTAGCAGTCTAGCCTACTAATGGATACTGTCCGCTTTGAATCTAGGCCCAAATGACCTTAAAACGTGTCATAAGGGTCTATGGATTGATTGGCCGATGTTGAATTTGCTCCGAGTTTATAGTGGTTTAAGTATGCGCTCCAAAATCAAACCTTTCTTAAAGAAGAAGGGGCAGCTCATTGAAATAACTTTTCTCTTCTTTTACTTTCTTTTGGGAAGGAAGTGTGGGCGCCAGCCAGCGGGGGACAGGGACATGTATGATAGTATATATATTTCACTTACTACTACTGTGGAGTGGGTGAAAGAATGAAGGCTTGAGGGTGGGAAGTACATACCAGTTGGTTTCTCGATCAACTTGATCAAATTCAATGCTCTTGTCTAGAATTCGATTATTACCCTTAGCAGTCCTGTAGCGAGATAGAGATGTCCATATCTGATTGTGAATCATTCTCGAGAGTAGATATGGAAGTATGAATATGTATGAGATGTCCCTTTGGCTTTCATCTTTGCTCATGATGAAAGAGTATATGCTATGACCCACAAATGGTGCCAAAAGCAAGTACTTCATCCCAACAAATTATTTCAAAAAGAAAAAGTAAAGAGTTTAGCAAAATTCTAGCTATAATAACTTCATGATATATTTAGCACAAAATCGTATCGAAAAAGAAATAGAAGGAAGAAAAGAATACAAAAGTTGAATGCATTAAGCTTGTCAATGCCAATACTACATAAACGTAACCATAATCTGAAAACATTAAAGTTTTGCATGGAGCTAATTAGGTTGTTACTTTTTACCTTAAAAAGTAGAAGCTAGAAAAGGTAATATCTTACGAGTACTATAAGAATTTTATCAAAACAGCCAGCAAATATACAGGTTTTGAAAACACCAGATACTTATATTAATAAGAAAGAATTTTTTCCTTAAATCTGTCAAATTTAATTACTACTATATTAGAATTGAAGCACTAAACGGAAGTCCTTTTCTTCCTTTCTCTTCTGGACAACCATATATCATCCTCCCATGATAATATAGTACTTTTCCCCCCAAAGAAATAGGGAAACAATAGGCAAAACAAAGTGAACACGCACAATCTTCTTGTTCACTTTTATGTGGGACCGGAAATAACTCAGTGCAAGATCATAGTACTGATGCATCAATCGAGGAATATGTTTTCCAACAGCAAAAAAAAGAAAAAGAAAAGAAAGCGATGCATGTAACTCAATACTGACATTACTTCTAAAAGACACCTCATTTTAAATACGCGCTTTTGAATATACTTTAAACATAACATGTTTTGACAGCAAAAGAAAGGAGAAAAAATAGTTGGGAATTCAAGAAAGAGTACCTTGAAGTTCCCAAGGCGTGCCCATGGCCACTCTGTGAGAATGCCAGGTTTAGTAGCCATTGTTTTGTTCCTTCACCACAAATCTTGAGAAACTAGGTACTTAGTTGTAGCTTTGCCCCATTCGTTGTTCTCTAAAAGCCTCTGCTTCCACGGCTTTATATAAAATTCGCTACTATATAGGTAACCACAATCTATACCGTTTCATTAATTAGCAACTGTGACTCGTTAATTGGCCTGTGCCAATTAACTTGGTTGGCGGAGGTTCATGATGACCAAGTTTGGTATATGTGATGGAAGGTAGTATTCTTTGAGCCCACGACTCTGCTCAGCTGTAATGTAAGTAGATTCTCCTCAGACCTTAGTTGAAGACACGCCGAGATAGAGCAAAAGCAGTGAGAAGTATCACAAGCACGGTAAGAAAATAATTCGTAAGTAAAGCGGGTTCTTTTATTTGAGTCTGTAGTCTCTTGAATTTTACTCGGGACTAGCAAGTGTAATGTTCCTTACTATAGTAGTTAATTTGTTCTTTTTGGTTTGTCATCTTTTTATCCTTTGTTATCTTTCTATTCTTGTTGATTACCATGTCTTAGTGCTCCATTAATATTGTTGTCATAGACGGTGAATATTATTTCTGTGTTATTTTTCCAACAACGGGCCCACCTAGCTATAGCTTATGCTACATTGTGTGTTTGCATTTTCAACCTATAGCTTCTGCCAATGAATAATATTCTTTTGAACTTTCTCAAAGTCAATCCTAATCACCATGTGATAATTTAGTATGCAGGAACAAAATATCCTGTCTAATTATGTACAAGCTTGATTCATGTTTTATTTTTTTAATGAAAGTCAAGATATTGTAGCCCTTGTCATGCTTAAATGAAGCTTAACCTTCTTTCTTTGGGTTGGTGTGACCAGGGGATAAGCAACTATAACTCCACCTAGCAATAGATTATGCTACATTAATGGTGTGTTTGCGTAGAAAGTTGGAAGTACGTATTAAAAGTGTGTCGAATGTCCTTTCAAATTACCTGTAACTCAATCCTGATGGACGTATCTCTTTTTGCATTTCACTTTGAAGCATGATGTACCATTGGTCTGACCACAGCAGTTCACCTATCTCAACAAAATATCCTTTCTAACCAAATGTTTTTGTTCAATTGTCTTGTTAACGAAAGTCGGAATTATAGCCCTTGGTCATTGTTAATTGAGTCATAACCTTTTGCTTTTTCAGGACCGGGAGACCAATGGATACGCAACTTTGAGTCCATCTAGTGTGTTTTTGTGTAGGAAGTTTGAAATTTATGTATTGAAAGTGTATTAGATCATATCAATGTTGCGGTCCAGTTCAAGTTGCAGCTAACAGGAAAAGGGGCTAATATACATCATAACAAATTAAAATGATAGAAATAATGATAATGATAAAAAATAATGATGTTAAAGTTTTCAAAGCTCCCGGATTAAAATATTTCGACCAAGAGGTAGAGGTGTTAAAACAATTTTCTTACTAATGTTTAGTTTAACAAATGAGAAATTGTTGTATCATTGAGATTTTTATGAGTTTTATATTTTAAATAAAATATCAGATGTTATTTGGATTTAACTGATATCAAGAGAAATCAATGTTATTGTGACCGTTTGAAAAAGTCTAATTTAGTATAAAATAAATTTCCTCGGATAGCCAATTACTCGTTTACAAACTAACAAACCTACTGAAAGGCACACAGATTTTAAGTGAGTCCCTTTTCTAGCTCACACATAGCCGTCCTTTAGCACCAATTTTTGTAAATTGTTGACTTTTGATTCATACATTTATTATTCTCAAATGCGAAAGGAGAGATGAAAAATATAGGGATGGGGGAACCGGGTACAGGAGTAGGGGAGCTACAGTTCCGCGTAGAGTTCAGAAGAACTCAACATCTGTATTCGTATTAAAAATGCATATATCCAGAATTCAAAAAAATAGTACCTTTATTAAAATTTAGAAATTCATAAATTTAAAATCCTAACGCCGCTTGTTAGCTACCTACTTGTTGCTGCGAGTGCTTAATTGTGCTTCACAGTCTTTAGAACTAGACTACTAGTGTGTTTAAAGCAAATGTCAAACTACAACAACTTAGCATTTGGTATCAATAAGATACATTTCAGAAAATACGTGAAATTTTTTTTTCCCATCAAATAGGAAGAAATGATTATACCCACTTTTGGGTGGAAAACATATTCTTTCACAACTATCTCAATTTTCAACTTTATATCATTAATTCTATCAACGGTTAATTAGACATGAACATCAAAATGTGATAATTTGTTTTTGCTATCAATATTATCAATATTTTAGTAAATACTTTTTTGAAATATATTTTTCACTCCCAATCGAATACCATAAAACATTTTTCAGAAAATAAGTCATTTTCCCTAAAAATATTGTTTGTCATAGAAAAAACACACCCACAAATAAAGGTAATGAATACAACTCACATAGTGAATAGTAATATCATATTATTCATTAATCTCATCTCTGTTTTTGTTACAATTGAGTCTTTTTAGCTCAACATATGCATGATAGATTGTAAAACTCCGATAATACAAATTAAATTTTAGGAAAGTTTTTGATCAATACATCTATCTCTCTCTCCTTTTCAAGATAATGGGAGAGATACACAAGAGTATATATTAGATTTTGAGAGAGAGAGAGCCAAAAGAGGAAAAAGAAGGGGTAGGGTAGAGAGTTCGCGCATATAATTGAAGGAAGAAGAAGGTCATTTGGGGGATTAAATTTGTGAGGGGATTCAATTAGAGATTTTGCCTAATTAGGAAGATGAATTCTAGTGGAATACTTGAAAGCATGCATGTATTGTGTTTCTATTCGCCTCTAGAAAACCTTAGGGGTCATCTTATCAAAAAAGAAAACCTTAGGGGTCCTTAGGTTGCGAGGATGTGATAGACAATACTATGAGATTAGCTATCCCACCTTCTATAAAGGATAGTTAATTCTACCATTTTAGTATAAAATGGTTCCCGAGACTAATTAATACTCATAACCAAACACGGGATAAAATAATCCTGCATTTTATCCCGGAATTGTTATCCTTTATCCGACCAGCCAAACGATCCTTTAGTGCGTATTGCTTAGTCCTATGTTTAGAGCAGTTGAAGATAACAACAACAACAACAACAACAAACTCAGTGTAATCCCATATATGGGGTCTGGGGAGGGTAGTGCGTACGCACACCTTACCCGTACCTTATATAGATAGAGAGACTGTTTCCGATAGACCTTACTCCTAGTACTACTAGCAAGTCTAGGAGGAACACACTACTATCGGTCAACCTACAACTCTAATCCTCGATCTCCACACCTTCCTATCGTGGGTCATATCCTCAATAAGCTGAAGCAACGACATGTCCTGCCTAATTACCTCTTCCCGATACTTCTTAGGCCTACCTCTTCCCTTCCTCAGACCCGCCATGGACAAGCCCTCACACCTCCTGACTGGAGCATTTATATCTCTCCTCTTCACATGCCCGAACCATCTCAACCTCGATTCCGTCCGTCTCAAGATAGTTCAAGGAATAATGCAAAAAGGTCCTTATGTGTGAGGTAGCTAGGTTCAAAATAATTCTTTGAATATACTTCTTATTACCAGTTTTGGTCGTTTAAGTGAAAGTAACCATATTTGGTTCGTTAAATACTTCACAAAATTGACTGTTAGATTTAAACTTTGGAAAGGAAAAAAAGATGTAACCAAAAATGACAAGAAAATCATGTCAAATTCTAGAAACTGCACCTCTAAATATTGTACCAAACTAGAAATAGAAATACTGTTAAAACTACACCTCAAGATGTTAATTCCTGTTACATCTTAATTATTTTTCTCACAATTTCCATGAAATGAAACAAACAAAGTTTGTTAAATATTTGCTGGAGACGAAAAATGTTCACTTTTGACAACACATAAAGTACCAAAATTATTAAGGGGTATATTTAATTTAAGAAACTATTTTGAACCTTTCCTCAAAAGTAAGGGATCAGTTTTGTCATTTTCTCTAATTTCTTTCGTATATCCCATAACACCTCTGGTATCTCCATTTTCTTCTTCCCTTCGACCTTCTTTTGTTGATCCTTTATCACTCTTTTTGCTATTCTCTGTGTTCTGCCGTTGCTGCTCGCGACCGACTCCCTACAATTTGCTCGTTTTTGCCTTTCTGGTAAGCTTCCCCAACTTCTGTTTCTTATTACTTTGTTATTGACCTTTGGCTCTATTTTGTCCAACAGAGTTTGTGTACGTGTTCAGTAGATGAAGCAAAAAAGAAAGTTGATCTTTTTTGGTCCAATATTTATGTTTTCCATATTTCTCTTCGGATATTATGTGGAGCTAAAAGGCCTACCTTTTGTTTTTCATAATTTGAATGACGAATCAGAGAAATTTGTATTTGAAGTCCAACTGGAATAGGTGAAATTTCACCTTGTGCTTTGTAAATTATAAATGCCATATATAGGATCACGACGATTTTTCATACCAATTAAAATATGCCCTGCTTCACGGTGGTATAAAATAATCACAAGTGCAAATTGTCATGGCCTGTTGTCCACATTCAAGAAAGTTGAGCTTTCTTTTAGTCAGCCTAATTCCTATAATGCAATATGTTTTTTGAGCGTATCCCCATCTGTAGTCTAATTAATTATATTCTAGTATTAATTTTTAAGTATAGGAGTCATGCACATGTCTATCTTGAGTGAGCGAATTCTAATATGTTTTAGATGTTGGATCTATTTGATTTTCCTTTGCCTTTTGCTTGGAACTTGTTCTGCACCTCAGTATTTAAGTTGAACAACATATATAGTTGATGAAAAGAATGAGTGCTTCATCACATATCCATCCGAAAATAAATATAGTTGCTTTGATGTTTTAGCAGAGCTTCACGGGTCACACGCATCTAGTACAATTACAAGAATGATGTTGAATCATAATAAGTGAAACTCTATCAGTTGTGAGTGCCAATCTGTACTAAGAACATAAGCATTGTAGCTCACAGTAACCAATTGTCACCTATGTTTGCGCGGACTCTCCAAAATGTAGCCGCATCCGTGTCGGATCATTCAAAAATGCACTACTTTGGGAGGATCTGACACGTATCCGGCCACAT